GAGTCATATTGTTTCAATTTGAGATGCTATGTAGTATATCTGCATTTGAAGGGAAGTTGATTTCAAATGTATCCAGGTACGAGGTGGTGTAGAAGGAATTTTTTTTCTTCCTGCCTATTGGACTACTTGTATATTTTATTTGCATAGGCATGTCTCTTCCATCATCAGGAAACTTGGTTGCAAATGCTACAGAGACTATATAGTGACCATAGCAAGCATAGCCTTTGTAATTTATGTACACTACACTAGCATCCGTAGTGCACCTGAAAATCGTCTAGCTTTCTGCTAGGATAGCAGTCAAGTCAACAGGCACTATGCACAGCTATACTAGAAATAATAGGGTTCATAGCTTCAATAGGGCAGTATATAGCGACTCTTATCAATTGTTATTAGTTATTTAATTCAATTTTGTCCCCAATAGATAGCAGTTAATGTATTAAAATATTAATATATATATTGCCAGAGCTAATTACAAGGATGTCAGAGAGACGGTACTATAGTACGAAGCTATTCTGGGACTGGAACTGATAAAATGTGCAGAGGGTTTCAAAGAAAATAAATTATGAGTATTAGAGAAGATCTGAGTAGTTTCAACTGACTCCCATGGAGGGTAATTAGTACCGTTCTAGATACATAGTAGTATAGACCTACTACAAGAATACTTCGGCCCAGGGAGCAGGTGGGTCGTACTAAGGCCAGCTAATATTTAGAGTGATTTTTGAATATATAAGATAGTTAATATACAATACATTATCCAAAACGATATACGCACTGTATTAACAGACTGAGTTCTTGCAATCGACATTAGTCGTAGTCATCGTAGTCGTAGTCACCTACAAGAGGACATCCTCAGCCAATCTAGTCTGGTACTGATAAAGGAACAACTCACCAACGAGTGGCACTCTTGTTCATCCTTCGAAGGATGGCGGTTTGGAGTGACAACTAGCTCTCTTTCCCTACAGTGACGGTAGTTTAGCGCAAAGCATGTGGAGTGTCGCCGGGTTAGACATACCTGCCTGCAGAATCCAATGCTAATAGCCGTAAGTCAATAGTTTATTGGGCTCAACCCTCAGACCGGCCATTCAAAGGAATAGACTGTCAGGGTAGTGTGCCAACTCACCAGTGATGACCGTGCAGCGCACCTGCAGTTACCACCATTTCTCCATGGAGTAGTAGTATCTGGATGCAAAAGTGGTAAGTGAGATTTCAAGGTGCTCTAAGTGGAATAAACCATGGATGGCTGAGGAATGATCCAGGTAGAAGCTACAACAGAGGAGTGAAGGCAGTGGTACAACACTAAGTATAATAGCACTCAGAGTTGTTCGAACTAGCTGAGTTGACTCTGTGATTTAGCGAGAGACTAGCGAGGCTAGCTGGGCATTATTTCCATAGATATTTCCTAGAATCTGTAGTGCTACGGAAAAATAAGTGCCATTTGCCAGCTTGCCTGATGATATGTCTGTCCAAGTATGGCCTTCCTCCATATTTTCCTATCTATTATTTCTAGAGAATGATATGTGCAGTTCAAAGGTTAAGCAATGCAATCAGTGGTTACAGATGTCTATTTTTTGGAGGCATCACGTAAAATTATTATCAACTTCAAACCTTATTCTCGTTGATCACAATACCTGTGCTGGATATCACCATAGAATCTCTCTAGTCGCTGTGTAATATATACTTGCATGTTTATGGCTGAGTGGTGTTATCAATATACTAGATTTTTAAGGTTGGGAAGGCATTGAAGCATTATGATGATCCTCAGGCTTGAAGCCGTGGCCTCCTTCCCATTCTCCAGATTTCC